TGACAAGTTCAACAACGTTATCACGATGAAGTAGTAGTATTCTTACAGCGATATTGATTACGATTACAAATTATTTGAAACAGTTAAAAGCCCCCCTCCCCCATGGACCCTTCTGTAAAAAAAATATTGTCATAATACCACTGCTACTTATTTAAATCTATTTCTGTAATATATATTTGTTTAATATATAATTGTGTAATATATATGTATGTTTAGAACAGTCATCTAAAAACTGACGCTATGTTCACTCTGAGTTGGTAACCCCCCACACCTCACCACCACAATTGTGTAGAGCGACATTAATGTCACACCTAGGTATACACTGGGTTGGTTAATTGACCTAAAGTGAACCGACAGTGGTGAATGAAGTTGAACCAACCCCCACCCCCAACCCACCCCGAACTGATCTGTTAAGTACATGTAGAAAAACGCGTAATGATGTACCAATGTAACATGCCGCCAGGAAATTAGCTTTTTAAACGTAAAACTCTGTGAATATTGTTTTTGCAATTACCAGTAAAAAGGTGTGTGATCAATACAGTGATCCAACCCATCACTATCACTATGTTATATAATAATCTTCAAAGAACACAACGAAACAGTAGTTAATTAAATTTATGATCTGAACTATAAGACCGATATTTAGTTAAATGTAGGCTGTTATTCCGAATGTATTTCTATTGTATCGAAAAGCGTGGTTTTATACCAACTCAGATTTTAAAAACTTTCATTATGCTGTAATACTTTAGCATTTATGATGACGATATATTAAATTCTGATTATAGACAAAAACATTTTGTAAACATGAATAGTGTTAAACAATTTCATTATATTCTAAAGTAATTATTTATTTATTTTGACATTTATAATTAAATGTGTAGATATATACATATTTATATTAAGAGAGTGAATATTTCCCCTATTTCACTTGTCTTAAATAATTTCCCAGGAACTATTATGTAAGAATTTTTTTTTTACAAGAATTACAAAACAGATTGTGTTACGTTCGTTGTTTTTGGTTGTAGTGTGTGTATATATATATTTTGTTTTGTTTAGATTGATACAATTTTTGTTTTGTCGGCCTACATTGTGTTTTTTTCTTATTTCTTCAGAGTGCTACTTTCAATTTATTTTACATCATAGCGAAGTAATGACATACAGCTAGTAATTATATATATGTATATATATATATATATATATATATATATATATATATATATATATATATATATATATATATATATATATATATATATATATATATATATATATATATATATATATATAATACACGTATATAGAACGTGCTAAAAATTCGGCGCCTTTTTTTGCTCTTTTCGCTCCCCCTACAACGAAAACCTGGATACGCCTCTGTCTAGATCTCTCTAGCAGTTATACTCAAATATAGAATCTACTCATAGTCTAAAATCTAAAATTATTCTAGATCTAGAATCTAGATTTCTAAATCCTTTAAAATTAATACAAGATGAGGTGCTTCTGAGCTGTTCATAACTTAAAAATCTAGATCTAGAACTAGAATCTATATAGTTTATTATATACTATATGCCTATGATCTATTCATATTCTCTCTAGATTTATAAATCATCTAGATTCTAGGTCTAGACTTTAGTTTAACGTTCAAGCTAGGGACTAGGAAAATTCGTCAAATCACGGGCCGGAAATAGATCTAACGCTATCGCCGCCGTATTCTAAACTTGATTCTGGTTTCCGTAAGCTGTAAGCCAAAACATAGCTCACTGTTCACTGTATAAAACCAGATTCTTGACGTATTTGTGAGTATTTTACACTTCCTGTACAGTTAGGGCCTAGATCTATGTAAAATTACAACTAGATTTTTGTATTAAATTTCTAATAAAGTCTTTATTTTAAAAATTTAACCACCACTTGAATTAGATAATGCCTTCCGAAGCATCAGCATGGTCTTAAAATTTCTGCCCACGATCGGCAAATTCGCTAGTTACCTATTATCGATAAGAGCCGATGCAGTTAGAAACAATATGTAGGCCTAGGCCCTATCTATTGCACTCTCAACTAATTCAAGACATCTATACTATTACTTATATTTGAACAGTATTCAATCATTATATTTTATTAAAAAGACATTTTATTTTATTCAAAATATTCAGCGTTGGACCAACACAAACTGAATGGACGCGAGCGAGAAAGTAGTCTATTCGAGAGGCCCATTAAATAATTTAAAAATCATGCAATGTGTAGTTACAATTAATATGGTTATAAAATCCTGTCTGTCTGGTTTTTTTCGGACCTTACTAAAGATTGGATGTATTTGATGTTTTTCGGTAACTAAATAAAAAAAAATATGCAGAAACAATTTGGTTTTCACATGTAATGGAGACATAAACAATGGCATCCTGCTATTCGATAGGCTGCCATAGATTTTATTGTACACATTGTAAGCTAAAAAAAGAAAACTAGGTCATGTGGGTTTAAATTTGCTTTGTTATTTAAAAACTTTATCTGCAAAGTTTGTAAACAAATAATTATCGATCACGGAGTTCCTGTACAGCCAATCAATGTGTGTCTTACGAAAGTGAGACATCTGGTTATAACTTAGGCTTGATGAAAATAAATAGAAATGTAGCCTTAAACTCAACAACTTATTTTTTTGTTCTCTGGATTTGCAACTTTTTAAACATTTATTCTAAAAATAAAAAATTTCTAAATTGATTTTAGGCTAAAGTTTTTATTTTTTTATAATTTTTACGGTCTAAATCTAAAAAAGCACATTTTTATTCCATGTCAACAACATTTTGGAAGGATTCTCGTCAACTCGCTCACGTCCATTGATATCTATTCATGTTGTGCCAGAAAAAAACGCTATTTCTAGGTTTTGAATTTCAAACTAATGAATTATAGAACTATTTTCAAATTATAAATATAAAATATTAACCCTTAGTGTGGCAGATATTAAATCTAGTATAATTTTTGTGTTACTGAATGCATATGATATTTTTACACTATTTTGTCTTTCGGTGTGGTGTGTGTGACAAGAATGCACTGGGATCATATGAAAGTAATAGAAAATACAATTAGAGTAAAAGTAAAATAAAAAGTAATATGCCAAAATGTAATTTTTTCTCATGTGTGTATTTATTCAATGGCAAAGACAACTAACATCTTACAGCAATGGCAAAATAATAAAGAGAGATAGTATATTGAGATTAGGATCAGTGATATAAATAATGTTAGGATTATAACTAGGTTTATTTTTACGGTTCAAGGTGAGGTTAACCGCCATATTCTGGTTAATGTTTCGGTTATAGTTAAGGCTCCAGTTCCGGCAAACTTTTTATTTGTGTTTAGGTCTAGGAAAATGTGTAGGTTTAGGAAAAGAGTAAAATAAAATTTTCTTACTTGCATCAATTGTATTTTTCCTTCTCACTAATTATCAAGAATGCAATATTACTACTAATTGCTATCAAGAGACCCTTTTTACTTTCTCGTATATACGAAGTATAGAGAAAGTCTTGTAATCGTGAAAAAAAAAATAATCCAGATTTTTACAAATCTCGACATTTTACACCTCACTGATACGGAAAAACATAATTTTGCAATCTTGTCCGTATGTCTGTGTGTGTGTGTGTATTTAGATGTGTGTGTGTGTAAACACGATAACTTGAGTACCGTTACAGCTAGGTTGATAAAATTTCATATATAAGCATTTTATCAAAATTGTTGATCTGTATCAACGTTTGAGCGATTTCCGATAACCAGAAGTTTTACTTTTTCTACTTAGAATTTTTTTTTTTTGAGTACTATTTCAGATAGATAAATGAAATTTCAATGTAAGTAAAAGATCTAATTCTCTACCTTCTTTCAAATTTTGAGTTATTTCCGTTGACCGGAAGTACTAATTACGCTATTTCCGATTTCTCAAAAAACGCATGTAAATTTATAAATTACTATGAGATTCTATTCTATTTTTAAAAGTTTAAGTATTTAAATTTTAATTAAAAATTATGTCTATATTCCAAGTTATATAAGAATATTCGAGAAAGTTTAGGGGAGATCACTCCCGGTTTATTTAGATTACTATAAATGTAATGTTATAGAAATATTTATTGTCAAATTATGGAGAGGTAATTCATTGATGAAAAACCAGATATTTTAAGTAAATTTAATTATTTACACAAATACCTATTTCATTTAGTACATACATCTTCTGGTCCTTTTGTTTCTTCTGCGTTCTTAATTTTTGTGTTGGAAAGTATACATGTCAACTGCTTATGTACAATTGAGGCCATTGAGTCAGATTTTAGCCTTCTTTTCTTTTTTGATTTGTTTCCATAGCCTTTGTTTACCCAAGAACAAACTATCAGCAGTTGTATGATTTTGGAGTTATCTCTCCTAGAAGAGTGGCTGTACCCAGCTTACTAGCTTCATCTGCCCAAGGGTTCGAACTCGAGACTTTTTGGTTTAGCAACCATTACCTTTACTGACTCAACCACTGCCATCCCTTTCGTTTTTTGTTGATGTAGTTGACTTTCATGTCTACTGTATCAATCAGTCATCACTGTGTCCATTGTATCAGTCATCAATTTGTCTATTGTATCAGTCTTCAATTTGTCCATTGTTTTAGTCATCACTGTGTCCATTGTACTAGTCAACACTGTGTCCATTGTATTAGTAATCAATGTGTCCATTGAATTAGTTATCAATGTGTCCTTGTATTAGTCAACACTGTGTCAACTGTATTAGTCATCAATGTGTCCATTGTATTAGTCAACACTGTGTCCATTGTATTAGTTATCAATGTGTCCTTGTTATAGTCACCACTGTCTCCACTGTATTATTTAGAAAGAACTGTGCCCACTATATCAGTCACCACTGTGTCCACTGTATCAGTCCTTGACTTGTCTAATAAGCCCTGTGCTTTAACCTATCTTTAAAAATTATGAAAACGATTTTCAAACATGTAAAAACATTCCACAGATATTTATCCAAGTCAGCATTGCAGAATGGCTTTAACAAAACTTTCTTATTTGAAAGCACATTTACAATATGAACATACTGGGAATAGAATTGTCAACAGGAGTCAGGATGTCATTGATAATTCTAGTCAACTTTCTTCCCAGTCATCAAACTTTCATCAACACCCTATCATTTGTACAGTAGAAAAGACTTACAAGTGTGACTTATGTTGTAAATATTTTAGAAAGCTATCGGATCTACAACAACACCTTAGAGTTCATACAGGAGAAAAGGCTTACAAATGTGACACATGTGGTAAATGTTTTACACAACCTTATGATATACACATACACAAAAAAATCCATACAGGAGAAAAGCCATACAAGTGTGACAAATGTAATAAATGTTTCACACACCCTTCTAATTTACGCAAACACAAAAAAATTCATACAGGAGAAAAGCCTTACAAGTGTGACACATGTGGTAAATGTTTTACAAACTCTTATAATGTACACAGACACAAAACAATTCATACAGGAGATAAACCTTACAAGTGTGACTTATGTTGTAATAGTTTTAGACGGCTATGGGATGTACAACGACACCTTAGAAGTCATACAGGAGAAAAGCCTTACATGTGTGACAAATGTGGTAAATGTTTTACAAAGTTTGTCAACTTGAGGAAGCACCATAGAATTCATACAGGAGATAAACCTTACAAGTGTGACTTATGTTGTAAATGTTTTAGACAGCTATGGGATTTACAACGACACCTTAGAAGTCATACAGGAGAAAAGCCTTACATGTGTTACACTTGTGGTAAATGTTTTACAAAGTTTTACAACTTGAGGAAGCACCATAGAATTCATACAGGAGAAAAGCCTTACATGTGTGACATATGTGGTAAGTGTTTCAGAGGCCCTTCTGATGCACGCAGACACAAAAAAACTCATACTGAAGAAAAGCCATACAAGTGTGACAAATGTGGTAAATGTTTCACACGCTCTTCTAATTTACGCATACACCAAAAAATTCATACAGGAGAAAAACCTTACAAGTGTGACAAATGTGGTAAATGTTTTTTCGGGTTATGGGATGTACAACAGCACCTTAGAAGTCATACAGGAGAACAGCCTTACATGTGTTACACTTGTGGTAAATGTTTTACAAAGTCTTACAACTTGAGGAAGCACCATAGAATTCATACAGGAGAAAAGCCTTACATGTGTGACATATGTGGTAAGTGTTTCAGAGGCCCTTCTGATGCACGCAGACACAAAAAAACTCATACTGAAGAAAAGCCATACAAGTGTGACAAATGTGGTAAATGTTTCACACGCTCTTCTAATTTACGCATACACCAAAAAATTCATACAGGAGAAAAACCTTAAAAGTGTGACAAATGTGGTAAATGTTTTTTCGGGTTATGGGATGTACAACGGCACCTTAAAATTCATACAGGAGAAACCCTTACAAGTGTGACAAATGTGAAAATGTTTTTCCCAGCATTATAGTTTAAAAAATACCATAGAATTCATACATTTAAGAAAAATCTTAGAATTCCTACAGAAGATATGCTTTAACTGTGGTAATTTCAAATGATTAGTATAAAGTAACATTGTACTGAAGCATCACAAATGTGATAAATATTTTAATAACCTTTAATATTCATTTAAACATCGAAGAAGCCACACCTGAAATTGTACTTGAACATCTCTTTGAGGTATGCATCAGTTTAGGGTCATCTATATCTGCACTGAACAGTCTTTTCTTTGTAAAATATTGTTGAAATTTTGTTTCTTGTTATCTGTTTGTATTGCATTTTTTATACCAATTTTTCCGTTGTTAATGTATTTATATAGACACATCTTAGCACATCTGGCCAATTCTTGTCAAAATGATGAGGTTTTAGTTCAAGACAAAAGAGCTAAAAATGCTTTTGAAATCATAATTGTATTTCTCAGAAAAGAAAGTGTGGTTTATTTTTTTTCTTTAAATCAAGTAAAGCATTAATAAAATGTAAAATTATAATTAATTTATAGTGTTGGTTCTGTATGAACTGTATACAGATTGGACGCTATTTTTGTGTTTTTAAAATCATTAACATTTTAAATCCTTTTTTATAATTAGGTAATTCAAACGTAAAGAAAATGGCCATGACTAAGTCATGTGGCTTTTAAAACTATGACTGTAAAGGTTAAATAGGCTATTTTTATGTTAATTTGGAAAAAGTGTATGGGTGGAAATCTAGCATTTTGTATAAAGTGTGCACTAGATCACCATAGTGCTATTACTTTATAAATAAATTTGAATAATGTCTACAAAATTAAATATTCATTAATTTAAAAATATTTGTTCACGGTGAAGAGCTTATAACAAAATTTACATTAATTGAGTAGGCCAACCAGTTACAAAAATTAGAATTTTATCTCACCAAAATCGTTCAAATTACTTCACGTTATAGGATAGATTATTTAGATAAAATTAAGTTTCTAAATAAGCCTACAATTGTTTATTGATATTTACATATCAAACTGTAATTTTTATTCTCTACTAGTTTAGCTCACAGTATCTCTGGTGTTTGATACTACAGTAATACTTTATTTTCCATTTTCATTTCACATAATAGTGTCATATATGTACTATATTAATTATAATACATATTGATACAATTGTACATTTATATAGCAATATATTTATATTTATATTGAGAGAGAGAAGGAGAGAAAGACAGTAAGGCAGTGTGAAGAGCAGCGAGTGTTTATTTTATTGGGTGACAAAGTGTGAAATTGTAAGACAGTTATATTGATTCTGTTTAAATTAGTTTGTTATATTGATTTTTGTTTTTAGCATCTCTTATTCATTGATATTTTATTATCTTAATGCATTGTCTATTTACATCATCCTGACCCTCACAACATGGGCTAAAATTGGGCCATTTAACTATTTTCCACATATTTAATAAAACATGAAGTTCTAAAAAATTTAAACAATTCCAACAATCCTTTCCATATCTTTGGTTTCTCTGAAACTCGATTACAATCTTTTACAAATGATGATGAGATAACCGTCGCTGATTATAACCTAATACGCAGAGACCCATCCTTACACAAAGAAACTGGCCTTTGTGTCTATGTCCACTCCTCCATTCGTTTCAAGCACAAGAAGGATCTGTCAACGGACAATATAGAATGTATATGGATTGAACTGGAAAATAGCAAGCTCTAATAAAGTATTGAAGATTTCAGCTCCAATAATCTCTGAAGTTTTAATCAATATCTATAACCTCTGTATTGCCAAGCAATATTACCCGAAACATTTTAAGCATGCTATGATTATACTACTACACAAAAAAGGTAACATCCAAGATGCTAATAACTACAGGCCAATTTCTATACTTTCTTCCTTCTCCAAGCCACTAGAAATACATATAAACAAATAAATGTAAAACTACCTAGAAAAACATAAGCTTTTCCATAGTAATCAGTCTGGGTTTAGAACGTTTCATTCTTGTCACTGCTTTGATTAAAATGAATGAAAACTGGCTTAATAAACCGGGAGTAATCTACCCTAAACTTTCTCGAATATTCTAATATAACACTACGTGGGATGGCAACTCGGAATATAGACACGATTTTTGTTTACTAAAACTTTTAAAAATAGAATAAAATCTAGTAGAAATAAGAATTCCCCACAAGCCAAACGCCAAAACAAAATGTGCATAATAGTGCGCAATATTATTAGTACTTTATAAATTTACATCAGTTTTTTAAGAAATCGGAAATAGCGTAAATTAGTACTTCCGGTCAACGAAAATTACTCAAAAGTTTGACAGAAGGTAGAGAATTAGATCTTTTACTCACATGTGAAATTTCAATTATCTATCTGTAATAGTACTCAAATTATAGGCTTTTGAAACATTCAAAGTAGAAAAAGTACCACTTCCGGTTATCGGAAATCGCTCAAAAGTTCATACGGATCTACGATTTTGATAAATACTTATATATGAAATTTCATCAACCTAGCTGTAACGGTACTCAAGTTATCGTGTTTATACAGACAGATATGCGGACAAGATTGCAAAATTATGTTTTTCCGTATCAGTTATGTGTAAAACGTCGAGATTTACGAGATTTTTACGAGAAAGTACAAATATTAAAAAAACCTACTTTGTGGCACGCTGTTTTTCGATTTCAGAAAAGCCTTTAATTCTATTGATCACATCATACTTCTTGAAAAACTAATTCCTTACAAATTCCACGAATTTACAGTTAGGTTACTTCACTCCTTTTTGTCTAACAGATCTCAACGCGTGTTTTACCTTAATACCATCTCTTTACAGAAATATGTTAATATAGGGGTTCCACAGGGCTCAATCTTAGGTCCTTTACTTTTTTCATTATACATTAAGATCTTGCATTGCACATTGACGCAGGTCAGTGCGAGATGTTCGCTGATGATACTTCGTTACATGTCTTTGCAGACAGTGCTGACTCACTTAGTTACAAACTTCAAACATGTGCCAATCAGCTTGCTACTTGGACAAAATTGAACAAAATGAAACTTCACCCCGATAAAACTAAGTCAATGATTATTACAACTCATCAGAAACGCCTTCGTCTTCCATCCACCTCATTACGCATTACTATAGCCTATAGACAATACAAACATTGAACAGGTTAACAGTTACAAATGCCTAGGATTGATTATAGATCACAACCTCAATTGGTCCGACCATATTCATCTACTAAAAATGTCCTTATTAAAGACAACTTTTCAAATAGCAAGGATAATGAACTTTCTGGACTATTGGAGCAGGCTGGTTTTTTATGAAGCTTTTATTCAATCTATGTTGGATTATGCTTCTGTAGTGTGGAGCGGCAGCTTTATAACTAAGCAGCGTCCTCTTCTATCATTACAAAAAGGGCTATAAAACTGGTTACTGGCTTGTCTAGTAGTCTGGATTCTTCCATTAAATAAAAAAGATATTATATACTAAATTAGTTTTTTTATATAAAATATTCCATGAATCAGCCCCCCTCTTACTTATCAGACCTATTTTCTTTTAACATAAAATTAAATCGACGTCTTAATTTACCGATCCAAAATACAACTTTTTTTTCCAAAAACATAGCTTCGCCTACTCTGGTTCTAATTTGTGGAACAATATTCCTAATAAAATAAAACTATCTAGCTCTGAAATATATTTAAAACTAAAATAAAACATTGAAACATTTCTCATTCATCTATTATATTCTTATTTTATCTCATTGTGTATTATAACTATGTAATATTATTTCTTTATTCTACATTTTTACAAGCTTTTATTTAACTCACTTCCTCTGTCTGTCGTAAGTCTGTCTTGACGGAAACGCAGGAGTGAAAATTCGGACAGTTCTACTTGACCGACACGATTCACAGTTGGCACGTGGGTCAAGACATGAAGACAATGCAATCTGAAACTAAATTTGACTTAATTGGATGCCTAATTGATTTTTTATGAATTAATTAAAATTTGGACCGAATTAGTAGGCATGTCTAGCCAACCACACCACACGCGTCATCAATAGCTGCGCCATCACGACCACGTAATGGCTGCGTTCAAAAACCATTGCGCGCCTACTGAACGTAATATTCAGTAGGCGCGCAATGGTTTTTAGTCATGTAACTCTATTGTAGATAAAACATGTAAAGTACTGAAAAAAAATTCATAAAAAACGTTTTAATAACAAGCTTTTATGTAATGATGCACTAAAAAGTAGAAAATAAATTATAGACTACTATTTAAATAACTATAAAGAAAAGCGTGGGTGTCTTCCTTAACATTAGTAAAGGTATCCAATAGATACTAAAGTGACCCACGCTTTTCTTTATAGTTATTTAAATAGTAGTCTATAATTTATTTTCTACTTTTTAGTGCATCATTACATAAAAGCTTGTTATTAAAACGTTTTTTATGAATTTTTTTTAGTGCTATGTTACTGCTATGTCGTTACTATTGCTTTTTTTAAATGCTGTTTTTAAATTGTTTTTTTTTAAACGTGCCTACTATAGTTACCATAATTGAAAAAAAAAAAAATAAAAATTTAAATTCTGAAAGTTGATTTTGAATTTCGGTGAGCGTAAACTTATACTTATAAACTTATATTTTATTCTACTTTGTTACTTTCTCGTATATACGAAGTATAGAGAAAGTCTTGTAATCGTGCAAAAACAAAATCGAGATTTTTACAAATCACGACGTTTTACACCTCACTGATACGGAAAAACATAATTTTGCAATCTTGTCCGTATGTCTGTGTGTGTGTGTGTAAACACGATATCTTGAGTACCGTTACAGTTAGGTTGATGAAATTTCATATATAAGTATTTTATCAAAATCGTAGATCCTGATTTATATGTGAGTTTTCAAAGTAGGTATGAGATATATAGATTTATTTAGTACGCTTTGTGTATTGGTTTATCATAAACAATGCTCTTTTTTTGCAAGGAAAATAAAAACTGGAAATACATTAGTTTTTAATTGCCATTGTGGAAAATAATGACACAGCTAGGTGGATGGTGTTAGTGCATGTGTTAGAATATGCTACGTGGAGAAGGTGAAGAGTGTTAAGATTTTTTTTTAATGGGAGATAGAACAAGTCAGATTACTTAAACCTTTACTTTTTGATAAAAAAAACAACGAGATAAAGGAGACAGATACAAGGGGCGCTAGGTTGATAGTGTTGTCTTTTTCTCTAAACCAAAATCACCACCTCAACTTTAGATTTAATTGTAAACGACAAATGACATTGAAAACGGATTTTTATACAGAATCGCTTGATCTGCACGGTTACTGCACATTGATACTAAATATAGTCGTAGCCATACCCCTAAACCTCGCACCTAATCTACAACATGACAAAAGTCGCTTTTAGTTTCTTTCAGGCGACTCTACTTGGGGGGGGGGGGGGGGTCAGCCTTACCGCCAGACAGCATGAGTCAGCCAACCCTTTCCCCACGCCCCACCCACCCGTCTACCGTCTTCCTTCAACGAAATAAAATTTATATAGAAAATATACTTTTACCAGTGTCCGCCCACTTTCTAACAAATTTAGTCCACCCCCACCCTTGAAAATTTCTAGTAACCCCCCCTACTGGTTGCATTTGTAGATCATACAGACTAAATGAAGAGCCTACTTTTATAACATAGACAAGAGGTCGGCAACCCCTAATAGCCGTCACTAAACCCGGCTCTACGATGGTAAACATTTAGCGTGAACCACAGCTCATCAGACCATGTGGGGATGGTAGGGATACGCCTAGAGAGGAAGAGAGGGGTCTGCTAGGCACGCTTACAGCTTGGTGTTTTCTAGGGTATCCAAGAAGAGAATATATATATACAGAGCCGACCCGCGGCGTAAAGCCGCTATTTAGTTGTTTTATTTTCTACTTTTCAGTAATTCATAATTTGTGAATTCGACAGTACCAATGTTGCCACTGAAAATATTTGTTTTAAAACACTACCAGATGGTCGTTAAGGACGATACCCCCCTCCTTTCCCCCAACCCCTACCCCACCCACCCACCCCCACTCCACCCCCCCCCTCCCCCCTTGAAAGCAAACTCCTTCGTTACCTCCCCTAAGTTTAAAATCGTTTCAAACTATATTATCTGCCCCTAATAGCCGTCACTAAACCCGGCTCTACGATTATAAACATTTAGCGTGAACCACAGCTCACCAGACTTCCTAGAGAGAAAGAAAGGGGACTGCAAGGCGCGCTTACAGCTTGTTTTCTAACGTCTCCAAGAAGAGAATTATATATATATATATATAGAATTTTTTATATTTTTTTATAATATAATGAATATAAATAACTTAAAACATGATAAAAACTCTCATCAGAGAACAATGAGTAGGTGCGTTAGAAAGTATCCTGACGGCAGCTTGGGCACCAGGCCCAGCCGCACAGCCGTTGACGACGGCTCCAATCTTGCCACTGCCCAAGTGCCGACTTTTTAAAAATATCGTTAAACGAGTAATGTTATTTTATTCAAAATGCATTGCTCTATCCGTCAGTAATCAAATTTGACTTGAGTGACGAAGTTTGTTTTGGTTATTAGCTTCCTACTGTTGAGCAGGGTACTTGACGGTGGGGTACGAGTTTACCCTGCGTTCAGAGGGGTGTAAGCCTAATGACAACCAAGGGACTGAAGCGACCGGTACACGGTATTCAAACCGATATCCAAGTCAGTTAGTCGGAGTTTGCCGTGTTGAGGCTGCCCTGCAAGCTATTGGCTTGTAAAGTGGATTGGGGTAATCTTATAGTTATATTCATTACTAATTCCATCATAGCAGAGCTTGATAAAATTCTTTTATATATTTTGTGCGAAATATTAATATTTTTTAAAATATAAATATTCTTTCATATTTAAAGCTATTTATTTCGAATCAAAAATCAAATTTAAATGTCTGATCCTAATCAAATGCCAAAATATTGAAATAAAAGTGTTAGTGGCTCTTTAAATCTGGGATTTTTCGTAAATTGTAACTTTTGGATCTTCCGACTCAATAGGTTGCCGACCCCTGACATAGACCCATTATGCATGAAAGAAACTCTTCACATTTACATATCCACCATAGTTCACATTTACATATACACCATAGACTTCACCAGTGGCGTAGCCAAGATCATATCAAGGGGAGGGGCGGTTCCAATTTTTATCCGGGGACAAACTTTCGATTTGCACCCCCCACCCTAAAACTTTCGATTTGCACCCCCCTCAAACTTTCGATTTGCACCCCCCCTCATACTTTATATATGTACCGAGGGGTCTATGGGGGGAGGGGGGTTATGACCCCCCCCCTAACCCCCCCCCCCCCTGCCTACGCCACTGGACTTCACATTTACAGATCCACCATTGACCTCAGATTTACAGATCCACCAAAGACTTCACATTTACATATTCACCATAGACTTCACATTTACAGATCCATTATAGACCTCACATTTACAGATCCATCATAGACCTTACATTTACTGATCCACCAAAGACTTCACATTTAAAGATCCATCATAGATCTAACATTTACAGATCCACCATATACTTCACATTTACAGATCCACTATAGACTTCACATTTGAGAAAATCCTTTCAAATGTTGTAATTGTTTTTCACATAAGTAACATTTTACAGAAGCATTACAAATGTGGGAAAAATTTTCACAAAGAGACAACAGAGGTATTATTTTTTCCCCATATTTTTAATATTTTGTTAACCATCAAAAGAATCCATAAAGAAAATGTCGCTGAAAATCTCTAAGAGCTATGTAGAAAATCTCCTTGTGGATTGTGTTGCTTTGTGAAAAAATATTTTTTTTATTGTTGTGGTTTGCCAGTATTAAATTTTTAATATCTAGTTTTTATTGATAATTTAAAAAAAATTGACCCTGCTTGTCTGTACAACCAGCCAATTCTAGTCTAATTGATTAGGGTTTAGTTTAAGCTACTAGGCCAAGTAAGAATGGCAGACAAACAAAAACAATTTTTTATATCATAATTGCAATGTTCAGACAATGAACAAGATGTGGTTTAATTATTTTTTAAATTGTGTAGAGTTTTAATCAACTAATGAAAGGTTTTAATTTCTCGATATTGTTGATATTTATGAATTATATACAGATTTGACTTATTTTTTGAGTGCTTTTGTACTATTAAAATTGTAATTATTTATTAAATGATAATGTAACTTTAAACAAACTGTCTTTAAGTAGGCCATGCTGATGTGAAATGTATACAGTATATAAAGTTGAAATAGACTGCACTTATGTGAAAGAAAG